CGAGAAATGTCTGTTGAAATATAAGGCCTTAGCAATTTTGATTTAGAATGATACATTTTCACTAAACAAAGTCTTTTGGATACAAGCAGTGATTTTCGTCGTAGAGACTTATTATTGTCAAATAAGAATAAATAACACCAGTGCAATGGATATTTCAATCGATAGCACGTGTTCAAAGTACTTTAATATCCGTGAGAGAACAATATTGTGGATGGTCAACTTAAGTCACCGTCCAAATATTTCACATCTAATTACTTTTGTCAGATCAAATATGAGTCTCTTCTACATTTTTCCCTATCTGGTTTAGCACCCGTTGCAAATATTTCCAATGTAAGTACTCTGATAATAAACGAGAGCGTTTGCGTCAAGTGAAATTGGTTAAAAGAAACTTACTTTTGGGAAATCAAAAGCAAGCAGCACTTCTGGCCGGCGACCTAGAAATTCTTCATTTATTCCTTACTCAGGTGACAGGGTTCACTCACTCTAATTCCTGTCGAGAGGAGGACCCAGGGAATGAGGCAATGAAGGGTGGGGGGGAGGGAGGGGCACAGTATGAAATACACAGTGGTGCGGGTACGGGTTTTCACAGCCAAAAACCCGCCCAAGTGGAGTAATACTGGCATGCAGTCGCTTTAAGCTGAGGACATGGGAATAACCTGTGTTATACTCGTTTGTAGACATTATATACAGTGTGGTCTTTCGGGCCTCAAAGCTAGTCCACAGGGGCTAGATTTGGCCTCCGCCATTTACCCCTTGAAGTAAAAGCTGTTATTTGAGGTGGACTGTTTAGGAATGCATCTCAAGGGGTGCCCCGATCTAAAAAAGACAATGGACGCAGGTACATTGCGTTGCTAATTGTAAGAGAATCGGTTCTCTGTCTCAATCTGAGATATGTTTTATTATCACCGGTACTGATCTATATCCTCGGGTGAGTACAAATAGGCTGTGCTGAGAGAATAAAATTCCTGACAAAGAACAGAACACAATAACCCGGCCAGATCCTCGACCCAGACTCCTCGTCCCAGAGTCTTGCGCGAGCCATTAGACCTCTGCGTCCCTCACAAGAGATACCGCTGAACAGACACCATTTTAAGACTAATCAATTTGTCCTTGAGTGGTTCCCATATGCGTACTTTGAATGTCTCAAAGTTTTGTGTTGTACTCGTTCTGATCCGGCATCATTTCAACTACGTCTTTGCAATTGGGTGGTTTTGTTCTGTTGGTTTCAGGCGATAAAATCCCATCTGGGCTCTCCAAATCGTCGTTGCGACGTACAAC